TGCGGTAATTAAGTGGAACCCGTTTTAATTTCGTGTGCCCGACCGCTTCTTTTGCTGACGGCAAATAAGCCGCGTGCTCGAATATCGAGAAGAGAAAAATACTTGAGGCTGCATCGCCTGATAAGGTAGAAAGAAGGAAAGCACTTTAATTGAGTGTTTCCAGTCGGATTTCGAAGGCATAAACCCGTTGGCTATTCCGTGGGGTTTTCACACAATTAATAAAAGACACGCGCGCGCGCACACACACACACACACATACTCACACGCACATATATAAACAAATTTAGCGAAGCGAATTAACTATATGACTTGTTGATTTATTGGAACGTCTAATCGAAACGGCTATTCGATAGTATTACGCCTAATGACTGAATTCGGCTAATTCACGAATTTTATAAGGGCCTTAAGGCTAGTGAGAAATATAGCGTAGACTTTCTAGTACTATAGTGTCAGACGTAAATTTCTATTTATTTGATACGATTTCTATTTAAACTAACGTTAAACAACGTTTTAACTAACGTTAAATAACGTTAAACGTTATTTTATGTCTGCAAATGTTTTCTACCTGTAACCTTCACGTAGTCTACACGACTCATTTTACGTGTATACAAAGTTAGCAATGCAATCGACATACATTATTTAATAGGTTGCAAAAAAATTAAAAAGATTTATGACGCATAGCAATAGCTGTAACACGTACCAGTTACTGTTGGTTACAACAGTAACAACCCTTATATTTGTTGTAACGCGTAACAGTAACTCTTGGTTACGTTTGTAACTTTATTTTGGACTCAGCATGAAAAGAAAATATGTAAACTTATTAAATATTATTCATCATCCAGAAGAGCAGACCTCCTAACTGCTAAAAAGTGATGGCAAAACTACATAGTAATTAATATAGTACGAAACATCAAAAAATATTATCAAATGAAAATATAATTATTTTTTTACCTGGTACTTTAGGGAATATTGTTTTTAGTCCAATTCTGTTCTACCTGTCAGTAAATGTAAGTATCCTGTCCCAAAACATCGTTTGAAAATATTGCTGTGCTCATATATACACTGCGCAGACCTCTGAAGTACACGTTCACAAATCACCAAACTCCTCTCCTCATAACAAAAGACAGGTGTCCGGTTTCTACGTAGTGTGCGTTGTTTACAATTTCTTACTTGACGCGGACAAAGCAAACTCATGCGCACACGCACATTACTAGCTCCGACCTTCGGTCTTCACAATTCACAAGTATTATTCTTCACTTGTGTAACGCATACATTACAAAGTATATATTTGTCAAAATACTTTTCGCGAACCCACAAGATGTCTCAAGGCGGGGCAATCACCTTACTTAGAGGCCCCACAATTAGGAGCGCATTTACAATTTTGACGCCCATAGGCCAACTAAATATTGCCGCTCTAGCAGAATCACTATTTTCAATATTTTGCATACAATAAATAAAATTAGTCGTATTTATTCAAATATGATTAACGTCTGAGAATCTTTATCAAGATAAATGTTTACCAGCTTTATGTGGAGCTAATTCATTAATAATTGTGTGCAAATCTATTTGTTACATCAAATGCTTTCAATACAAAGAACGGATAATTAATTAAATAATTATTCATTCCTTGTCAATCTTAAGTAATTTTTTATTCTTTTAAGCAAAAAATGAGCGTTACGCTTTGCAATTGGAGACAATTGTACATAAAAACGTGTGAAAACATACACCACAGGTAACATCCAGCTTCCTGAAATATGTTGGCGATATTTATTATTCCAAAAATTCGGAGAATAAATATAAGATTGTTGATTAGACAGATATTTCAGGGTATCAGAACTTTTGTCTCATGAATCATTTATCCTGCACAGCCACAGCCAATTTATCAAAAAACGACGTAGAATTTGGAGGTTGTTCCCTGAGCATATTAGACTGAGTTAGAATCGTGATTCTTGTATCAGTCGCTTGATGCTCAACTCTCAGTTTGTGCAAAACGAAGCGCGTTAAATTTAAACCTAACTTAGATAAGTGAAAACAATATTTTGGGACTTCTTAGTTTCAATTATTCATTATAAATCAACATTTCATAGATTAAAAAATACGTATAACAATTAAATATGAAAAAAATGACTAATGTTTAAGTTTGTTGTAAAATAAATATTTGTTAAATTATTATTCAATTAACGATTCTATGTGTTTAGAAACTTAGGTAGTATACAAATGTACATTTTGCCACCCCTAAACATGTGCCACCTTACGCCAGTGACTATCAAGGCCTGTGCGGTAATGCTCCACTTCCAACAATAAAGGTTTTGCTGACGAAAAACCGCCAAACAATTTTGTGCCACAGCCTTACAATACGTTCCAAAGCGGATTGTGAAAGGTGAAGAATTAAGTGATGTTCCACTGGTTAGAAAAGTTATATTTTTCAATGAAAATTTCAAGCACACGTTACCTACGCGCAACCGTGGATTATCTCGTAAATATTGAGGAAGACCTTTGGAAACAAATACTTCTCTATACATTTTATTTGCAGAAGTGTATTAAAATGTAAAAGCCAAAATAGGAATCGAAGTGTGTGTCTATAAATTTGTTTTGGCCTTGAAGACAAATGAGCGTCGTAAACGTTTCGAAATTACGTGGTAATGCTATTTTACTTTTTCAGTTTGATCAGGAACTACAAGACGAATGGAAGTAGAATATTTCACAGAAGCACAAAACATCTAGATTTTACGAGAATTTAAACAAGGATATATAAATGACTCATTAAAATATAATGATCAATGACATTGGCATAAGTTATTCAGACAAAAACATATTTTTGTACAGAAATCAGAAGAATTATAGAATTTCACAAAATGTGATAATTGGATTAAGAAGTTAGATAAGTGCCTTTTAAACTACAATTGTTTCCGGATCTAGCCCGGAGTACGTAATACCAACAGCATAAAAAGTTCCATCACTCGAAGAACATTCTTTTCGCACATCCAATCAAACTTTCCTTCCGATTTCTCATTAAAACATAATAGATCAAAAGTTACGAGATAGCTATCGAAGGGGCGTGTATACGTCAGTTCCATCAGCAAAGTCTCCGGAGTTCATTTCTGGAATCAGATTAAGACAGGCGCCTCCATTTTCGGGCGGCGTCGTTCTTTCCATCGGCCCGAAATAGCGGCTTTCGCCCCATTCCGTAAACAGTGCAAGTCGCCGGGGCGAGCGGCAGGTATAAATCGCTTTCCGACAGAGTAAACAAAAGAGCGCCGGCCCATCGCCGCCGCCGCCGCCGCCGCCGGCGACGGGGAAGTCCCGCTCTCGTTATCCGCATCACGAAAGCGCTGGCCACCGGCCCGAACTGCGCCCAACGGATCGCGTCTAATAGCTGACGAGAATCCATTGATTGGAAATAAAGATTGCAGGTACTGTAATAATCAGAAAGCTTTGCTCTTTGCCGTCTCTAGCGGGGACGGATCCAGCAGATAATTTTGGAGGGTGCCATCAGAGAATTTCGTTAAATAATAAGCAATTGTTATTACATTGTACATGGTGCGCCAGAAGAACTTACTTATTTGAAAAAATTCCCGCGCGGTGAGTATATTATATACCGTTAGAAAAGAAGCTCTCGACTGCGAAGGCCCGCTGCTCTCTAGTCCAACATGATGGCAACTGACTGGAAGGAGAAAAAAACTTGGGAACTTCCCCCTCCAGTTACGCCCCCTCTCGCCCCTCTAACCGCCCAACTCACCACGCGGGAATTTTTTCAAATAAGTAAGTTTCTCTGGCGCACCCTGTATATTATTTTTTAGTGTGTATATGATACTATACAATAATATTTTTAAATTGGTACATAATTATAAGAAATAATATTTAAATAAATTTTGCTAAATAAAGGACTGTAACAAACAAAAACTAGGCCTGGGGACGGAACTTGGCCTCCATGCTCTGCCCATAGATCCGTCACTGTTCTATATGACGTTTTCTTTATAGTCGGTATATAAGTAAATCAATCAGGTTATGTACGAATGATATGTATGATACACGAACGTGTTAACCAAATGAGAGTCTGAAGGGTGGAGAAAATAGCAAGAATTAAGTAAGAAAAGGACAGGCGTCTTAGCCCAGCCCTTGATACGAGCAAGAAGGCATTCAAGTATTACTTTTTTGTTGTTTTATAAATGTTTGTAATTATAAATGTAATAATAAATAATATGACACGTTAAAAATAGTAAATGAGTATACAAAAAGATGAAACGGTATATTATTGCCACCTCTGGCCTATCGCCTTCTCAAACCTGAACCTTTGCCAACCTACACGTCCACTAAAACAGAAGATGTACATATTCTACGAACAGGCCAACAGATCACATGACGCCTTCCACATTATAAGTAAATGCAATTAATTTTAATTACGATAAAACTAACCCAGTGTCAATAAAATGTACGTTGTCAATTAGTCGCTTCTGGCAGAGTGACCCTGCGTAACAAGTTGTAAAGTAGTATGAAGGACCTCGGAATGGTTTCATCGCTTCCGGCTTAATTGCGAGTTTGAAACAGAAGCCTTTCCATTCGGCTTCATTTTCAGCGATATAATGAAGTAATGAGTCAAGAGTTTCGTTATCGCTATTGAAGTAGTTGTTTAGGGGCCCGGTGATGGATTCGGTGCGATGCTCCAATTGAACGCGGCGGAGCCGAAGAACAAAGATTCCGCGTTGGCGGCCCACTGTGCGTCGCGGTGCCGGCGCGAGGCGAGGCGACCCAGGGGGGCGGTGCGGGCAGAGCGAAGCGTGGTGAGATGCGGATGGACGGGGAGGGGCGAGGATGGGCAGGGAGGGGACGGCGGAGGGCGGAGAGGACAGTACCTGGCGGCCCTTCGTTGGGTAGCGGGTAAATGGCAGACCTGCGTGGCGTTCGTTGCAATGTATGTGAGTTGGAGGGCGAGATGGGCCGGGCGAGCAGGGCTGAGAGTGGTGGAGGAAGGGATTGGAAGGACAGGAAGGACGGGGAAGATGGGGTGGGGGATTGGGGCGGGGATGCGGGCGTGGAGTCTCTATGGATATGAACTGGCAGGGTGTGGAGTGGTGTGGCGGACGGGAAATCGCATGACCTGGCTGGCTGGCCGTGGAGGAGCATGGTGAGTCAGGCGGAGGCAGAGAGAAAACTAGGAGGGCTGAGGGAGCGGCGGGCGGGGGGCGGGCGGGCGGGCGGGGCGGGGCGGGGTGGACTGTGGCGGGCGGCGGACGGGGTAGTGGCGGGAGTGGCGGGGATGGCGGGGCCGGGCGCGGGGAGTACGCAGGAGTAGAGGGGAGTGGCGGGAGGGCGGGGCGGGAGGAGCGGGGCCAGGGAGGCAAGCGGCGGGGCGGGGCGGGGCGGAGCGCTCACCTAGGGCGAAGGCTCTATTGAAGACGGGCGGCTGCGCACACAACGCGCGGCGTAAGAAGCCAATTTCACGGCCGCCGGTCTCGGATTAGCCCCGGCGTTTGCTTGGGGTTTATCAGCGGCGCGCGATCAAATGGAAGGCCCGGCCGGCGCGCGACGACGCCCTCAACGCCCCACGACGGCCCTCGCGCAGGCGCAGAAGACACCGCGGCCTTCGCTGCCGAGGGGCAACGCCTCCACTGGCACCGGGCTAAGACGCTGTTGTCCACGGCAACACACATCCCCGCAATTCGGTCCGCTGCACCGTTGTGCTGAATGTGCCAGCAACGTCGTGTTTGGGTGAATCTTGAGGTTAAGTTGAATTATGTTGGTAAATAATATTAGCTCAGCTTCGTAAATCGCTGTCGTTTGTCAATTGCATTACTAGCACTTTACACGATTTCGTGTTGGCACGACACCTGCAATTATTGTCATACCACATTTATATTGGATGGAACATAGAGGAGAAGAAGAAAAAGAGGAGGAGAAAAAGAAGTAGGAAAATAATAAAGAAGAGAAGAACAGATGAAGAAAGACTTTTGACTTGGCGCAATTCTGTGGGCTGTTTATTTAGCAAACCATGTATTCTGTCTGTCTTTATATCTCTCTTTTAATGATACGCTACAACTGGGCCACACAGCTAGAAAACAACCCAAACAATTTTCATGCTAAAAATCAACGTTCCAGCCATTTTATTAAGCGCTTTCAGTCCAACACCAACTATTATCAGATTAATATCAAATAACACATTCTATGAGCACAATCAATTCTTTTGCAAGTTTGTACATTCGTGTTATTTTTTAACGACCGACTCAACTACTAACATATTAATAAGAGTTTTGATTCATTACACGATCTAAACTCAAAATATTCCGAATAGTCCAGAGTGCATACTGCAAAGGCGCAATGCCTCTAATTTCACCTCAGGCAACAGCTAGGTTAACTCCTACGAACTTATCGCATTGTTGCTAAGTCTTCTTTAGTATGATACAGCTTGCACCTGAACATGTGACGGAACCTGATGCTTGTAGCTCATTGACTGAAACCCAATAGAACGCACAATATCATCCTTACTCTTGGCGATGCAAATAATTCTACTATCGATCTTTTTCAATGGTTGAATAGGTCTTGAAGATATATCTGGCTACTATAAGTTTACTGAGAATGAAAGGATTCGACGAAGAAGGTACGGGATATGATTCTACTTAAATCCCCCTCAATCCTTCCGGCGTAGAAGTTCTTGCTAGTCGCTAGACTAGACGTGAAGGTAGAAACAATATATTTAGTTGCTTTCGTTTCCCTATCTATACTCTTCTCTCCGTGAATGCCACCACCGCATGCTTATTTATCTTCATTTCAGTTCATTATTCTCTCCAATGAGGCGTCCCAAAAACCACGTCTATAATTTTTTAAATATGAGAACATGACATTGAGAGCTACACGTTAGTTTGCCTGCGTATTCCCAATCTTACATTAAAACTTTATGTCTTGGACGGACGTACATAATCAAGCGCACATAAATAATGAAGATGTAGCGGTCAAATCGAACGTCTAGATTAGTGCCCCACCGCCTCTGAAAAAAGCAGTGGTAAACTACTTCAGAAACAAGTTCAACGAGAATAGAAGGTTTCTGGGGCTCCGAAGGCAGCAACGGAATCGGGAGCTTCCAATGAGATGTAAACCTGCCACTGGACAGAATCTCTCACGCAATTTAAGAACGCGGCGATGAAGACTGCACTTGATACGACTCATTATTTATGAATGCATATCACCGCCTGATATAGCCAGTGCTTTTGCCATCCTTGCCGATTCCACCGCATAGCTGGTATGTACATGTTTAGGATTTTTAGTATTTTGCGTCATTCTCCTCATCCTCTTGATTGGTTGGTTGTTAGTGATTCCGGACGCGTCAACTATTAATGTCATTAGTCCCGTAAGTGTTGTGCGTGTCTTTCCTCGGGATGTGGCGATGATTTTCCCCTGCTGCATGGAGATATCCGACGCCAATCTATGCAGGCTAGCGGGGTTTCCCACATCCAGGTATCTCTTACCAGCGGGGCACCGCCCCACCCTGAACATGCTCTAAGCTCCCGGCTGGTCTCCCGACATGTGCGGAAGTGTAGTGCATGTTAGTGTAAGCGTGTGTAAGAGGTGAGGATAGATCAAGAAAGAGGTAGGAAAGATTGCGCGCGGTCTGTGGCCCGTTTGTTAGGGTACTGCTCCGGCATTCGCCTAGTGTTGATCGAAGAAACCACAGAAGACTATCAGAGCAGCCGGCCGCTAAGATTGCCCTCCAGACAGAGACTTAATTCGACATAGTGTCGAAAATCCTGCCTCCTTGGGGAGAGTAGCCCTAGGACCTCCCGGCCAGAGGGACTGCAGTGACATCAGTTGATGCCCTAAGCCACCTCTCCCGGTTACTCTTCCTCTTGCTTCCCATATCTATCTAACGCGAGAAGATGGAAATGCACTGAGAATCGCCAACCAAATTGTTCAGCTGGGCGCCCCATACGTGCACCAAGTGAGTATTGAACGAAAAATCGTCATGGTTCATGGGGCGCAGACAATCTGTCAGGGGAGAAGGTGATACTGGTGATTCATCACTCTAATCGATATATATTCTTCGTGCTTGGCCTCAACGCAGGGCCACTCTTAAGATGATGTTATCTTCTGATACAACATTCATTTTTCAAGCCCTTCCACGTGTTTTCTCGTCCTACTTTATAAAAACCTTCCAACCTCCTCCCTAAAATGATACGTGTATCTAAATGTAAATGTATGTAAATAATGCTCACGTCTTCTAGAATATATTGATTATAATATTTTTGCAGCTTTTTGTATTTAGTGCGAGAAATAACATTTCATACATACGTTTCTTTTATGTAATTTAAATATAAACACGTGTATTAAATTGTTGAACGCATGAAATGTGTGAACGCATGAAAAGTGAACACTTTTTAACACTCACACGGAATAAAAACATCTCTTCAAAACGCTAAAGAAATTGCTGCATCACGAATTCTCGAAGGATTCATTCATGCATGTAAGGAAAGTGGTAATGTATTTTCATGCAAATGCTCGAACACGTGCGCAGCAAACTACTCATCCATAAAAGTAAATTTACCAAGTTAAACATATTAATATTTAAGGGGTAAATACTTACTTTCAAGTGCTGAGTGAATTTATCCGCTTGCACTTCAAAAACTCATATTTAATGCTCAGTAAACAAGTTTTCACATGGAAAAGAGGGAGAATATAATAATAATAATAATAATAGTAATAGTAATAATAATAATAATAATAATAATAATTATTATTATTATTATTACTGATGTTTCATTTGACTCAATTTCGAATTTACTGTCCAAGTACTGATTTCGACGAATAAGAATCGTAACATATATTTCTATTATTTAATTTTATATGTAGATTGTAGAATATTTAGAATGGATTATTTTTTTATACAAAAGAATTTACTGTAGGTTTGAATCTCGTATGTTGTGACGGTTCTCACATTTAGAATTAACGATTACGATGTTCGCACCTGATGATCTTTATATTCAAAACACTAACGGTTTTCGGTTAGAAAGAAGTCTGAGCATTCTACTCCACTAATTTTCGGGAGATTTCTTCAAATGAAAAGAAATAGATCTTTTCAGATGTTTAATCACTTGCTATTATTAACTGATTTCATGGTATACACGCTAAATTCTATTAATATCTTACAACTAAATGAATCAATGCTTATATGCCGTCATTTTTCACTACGTCGCGTTTTAGTTATGAGAGTTGTAATCTCTTTATTAAAACCATTCAATGTTTCGTCATGAAGCACGAGCAAGCGTATGTGAGTGTGATCTTATTGTTGGTGAAGCAAAGAAGATTATTAAGTTTGAAGATTGAGTGCTTTCAGTGGAATGATAAGTGAGTGTGTATATAAAAAAATGTTACGCAATCATTTGAATAATGTACCACTTCACAACGAAAATCCGTTATTATAATAATATGTGATGCATTACAAGTTTAAATTAAGGTGGACGAATGGATTTCATGCTTAAGTCCAGTACATAAAAACATAACAATTACATTTTTAGAAACATGTTTCACTCTTCAGTGAATTTTGTATTTGTATTTAGCCATTGTATGTCCCATAATAGGCAATTGGCCTCGGCGCCGTTAGATCTAGGGGTTCCTAGTCGGTCACCCAAACAGGAACCCGGGATGAGGCTAATCGGTTTAACTTTCGTGACTTCACGTACTTAATACATTCGGCTAGCGCCACCGGTTTCATGGTCGTGGCCATTCAGTAGGACCATCCCACATTCACCTGGAAGACCGAAGGAAATCACTAAAACCCCGGTCAGGAAGGCCAGCACGGGGATTGAACACTGACCTCCCAAATGCGAAGTTAGCGCGCTATGCCCTGAAACACTTCGCTTCGTTAACATGAATGGTGATAGTATATTTCCAGAATTTGTAAACCTACATTTATTAATCTTAAAGAATAAGTATTGAACATGAAACAATGTTTTGGAGAGGTTTCGATTTTTTTAGGAGACGGGGTGAAGAGAGAGCAAGAGATAAAGAAAGAAACGGAAAAGAGAGGAAGAGACAGGAAAGAGTAGAAGAGAAGGGGAGAGAGAGGGTACGAGTCGGACAGAGAGAGGGACACACAGGGAGATTGAAAGAGACGTGGGGATGGAAAGAGTAAGGGAGATGGAAAGAGTAAGGGAGATGGAAAGAGTAAGGGAGATGGAAAGAGTAAGGGAGATGGAAAGAGACGAGGAGAGAGGTAGAGGTATAGAGTTAAGACTTAAGACATTTGTCACATTATATTTTCAATTTGTACGATGTGTGTTTCGCAGACTAGTCCCCCACCCGCCCGGCCCGGTCGCCATGGACAGCGCCGAGTTCCGCGTGAAGGGCAAGGAGATGGTGGACTACATCTGCGACTACCTGGACGGGCTGGGCTCGCGCCGCGTCACGCCCAACGTGGAGCCGGGCTACCTGCGCCGCCTGCTGCCCGGGGAGGCGCCACAGCAGCCCGAGGAGTGGGACTCCATCATGCGCGACGTGGACGACAAGATCATGCCCGGCGTCACCCACTGGCAGCATCCGCGCTTCCACGCCTACTTCCCCTCCGGAAATTCCTTCCCCTCCATCCTGGGAGATATGCTCTCGGACGCCATCGGCTGCATCGGCTTCTCGTGGGTGAGCTTTAAGCATGTCTCCTTCCCCTCATTGACCTGCATTAGACTGAGTACACATAGGTCTGCCTACAAAGTAATGTGACTGATTCCATACATTTTGTTTTTATTGAAAATGCTGATAATTCTGGGTTGTCGGGGTGTTTATTCAGTAGACACGCTCTGTCAGACCTACATCTCAGTCTTATCCGCACCATCTATTTCTCCAATATAGTCCGCCCCCACTCGTTCCACCCTCCCTACCTTTCTTGCTCGAGCTCCCCTCCCCACCCACTCCGCCCTTTCTACTTAATTGCTTCCAGCGCTCGCATAAATGTATTGTGGGTTGCATTCTAGTTTTCATCTTCCCCTGCATCCCAAAGGTGCTAAGTGTAACTTCACCACACAATATTTTGTTTGAAGTTGTAAGTAACGAGAGTACCATATTTGGTTGAATTTTATTTATTAACTCTGTGGATAAGCTGAACATTTACATACGCATGTGCATCTAGAATATAGAAAAACTCGACCTGGCATCGTCGCAGCACTTCCAGTGTGTCTTCCGTTGATCGAAACTTTTCGAAGTTTGTTCAGAAATCGTCATCAAATTCTCGTAGCGACGGCTTTACGCTTGTGAGGAGCACCAAAACATACTTCCAGGTCAGATTTGTTCGGGAAACAAAAGACGTTTGGTAGTCCATGGTGCGGTATGGCAGGAATGTGGCTCGTCATAGAAAGGAAATCCCTCATTAATAGCGACTTGTGCCAGATGCTTAATTAGAAGGAAGAATTCAATTGATGGCTTGATCTGGTTGCACTAGGACGACTGTTTTCAAGTCACTGTAGTTGAAACGTTAGTAATGAATACCATAATGAAAAGACCTCCAGTTAGATCTTTTACAATGCAATTTTTCATGTCACGATCATTTTAAATTTCGGATAAAATTTGCAACATCAATTTTATTCCTAACCAGATTAATACTGTATTATTATTTCTCACCTTGACCATTTTGGAGGCTGGAAACGGCTCGTATTCCAAACAATGTTGCGGCACATCGGTTGGTCTTTAAGAAGAGACGAAGTGTGGTCGCTAGCATGTAAAGTGGTCTCTCGGAGATCACATAGTCTGTGACTGCAACGAACGCCTTGATCCACGTCTGGAAAACAAAATGACAATTTATTGCCATATTTAAACTTCGTTTCTGGTTATGGTAAGCTGTATCAAAACAGTGAATAAAAGAAAATAAAGAGAATATTCTCAGTATTTGTTTTACATTGTTCTTTCTCATAATTGATGAGAATACAAAACCTCTAAAGAGAAATAAGAAAAAACAAATGAATAAATGCTTTATAAGAAGTAACTCGAAGTTTGGTTAGATACCTATTGTTTCATCTAAAACATACATATTTATTTATGTATGGGTTATTTTGTGGGGACATAAACATTGGCTGTAATTCCGCACCCAAGTTTTCACAGGCTTTCTTCGAAGCCTACCTCCGACGCGGGTCTAGGGGAACTTTTCCGAAAAGGCGCCCCCTCCTCTCATGGGCGTCCCCTTGCACGCCTGGGTGTGATTCTCTTTTTCTCTGCCATATGTCTCGGTTAACTACATCTGAATTTTCTGGTTGGGAGAATGTAAGAGGTCGTTGGGATGGAAAATTGCCGGAGAGATTAAATTTTGCTGTGCCCCAGTCGCGGTTCTATTTCTAGCCACAAGCATGACATGGCTGCCGTAGGGTTTTCCGCCTTCTGAAACACCACACGCTACAATCGGGATCGAACTCATGCACTGGAGGTTGAGAAGCCAGTAAGCTAAGAACTCGCCCACAGAGGTAAATCATACATTTTCTTACTGGAGTAATACCGCGTCGCAATAAGAGTACACAAGTTTCAGATTTCGTAGATTTTTCTTCCGTTAACTAAACTATTTAAGTGATAACTCTTATATTTGTGGACAATAATTTCTTATTGGATAAATACTTAACTGATACAGCCGCTAACATCTGTACTGACCCCTCACCTGATACCCTGTAGGTCTACAAGAAAAACGAATCAATCTCGCTTTCCTTGATCATCAAATTCTCCTTTTGGAAAAAACTGAGCGTTGATTAAATCATTCAATCATTTGATTCCACAGGCGGCGAGTCCAGCGCTGACAGAGCTGGAGACAATCGTCTTGGATTGGCTGGGTAAGTTCATTTACATATTGTGCGCTCTGTGAATGTTGACCGATAGCACCTTCTTCACATTTGTCCTGTCGTTTAGCCCGCAAATTGAAGGACATAACGTTCTCCATTTTATTTTCTTAATTCGTGTCCTTTATTGTTGTTATTGTTAATTTATTTATTATTAGTTATTAAATATTCGCTTATTACGGCTCTTTTCCTTTCTATATGACAGCAGTATTTGTTATAGAGTTAATGCTCGCTGTTGTCATAACAAAAAATAACAACCAAATGCGTTTTTTTTGTAGACGCACATGTTTCTTCCACCTATAAATTCACATAACTGCGTGAAATTATACTTTTCTTTATAACTATTCAACATTTGTATATGTCTTATAAAGAAAACATCTGAAAACGTGTGTACTAAAACTCATTAAACTTCCTGATATTAATGGTGATTCCTGTGCACACACTTTTTGATGTACAATATCCATTGTATCATGCCACACGATACTCGGACTATACAAAAGCATGGGTGGCCAAAAACATAGAGAATTGCGAAAGGTTTTTCAAATTATGATGACTTTTTGATTTGTGTAATTCAAATTGTATGGATCTACGTCTTTCTGTTTGAGAATAAACGCTGAGTCATTTTATAATGTTCCAGTATAAAGCTATTTCCACTTTTAAAACAAAATTTACACAGTGTGGAATATGTCCATCCGGTTCCTACTCCGGTTCCTAAACACCCTGCCTCAACACAAAGTCCTTTTCATTAACAACCGTCTCGCATGAGTTCCTATTGGCTGGACCGGTGGGAGACGCGCAATGTTATCCCCTTCACCTTGCACCACGGGCTAAGGGACGTAGGAAAGAGCCATGGCTGAACGTGGTGTTGATCGAGTGGCAGGGAACGTGAGGAATAAAGAGGGGGCGGGAAGAAGCCCGCAATTTACACTTCGCTTCTTTTTTCGATGTCATTACCCGCGATGACGCTTCAGATCTTCGTGGCTGCGTGCGACGCGGAGGGCTAATCGAGGTAGGAGAACAGAACCCCGAATCACAGAGCCACGAAAGCCTTCCCGTCATGAACAACACGAAATATTTTTGTGATGCATTCCTTTGAAATGATAAATGTACAAATTTTAATTATCTCCAACATCAAAATGAAACTCACAAACACTCCAAAGAGGATACTGGCGGTAATTGTGGCACGTATGTAATTTGCGTAGCGGAAAAGAAAGAAGTAAGAATTCTAGCCTTTGTTAGAGAAAATTGATTAGTTGTGGCTGCAAATTACGAAATTTGTTATGAACATCTATTTATGATGCTTACATGATGCTTACATCACATGCCATATAAAAAGCAACATACAAAAGCCAGTCAGGAAGGAGTCAGTAACACGATGTATCTGGGATATCATCAAAGGTTTAGCAGGAAAACCATTAGTGAAGCAACTCTAAAAGAATGTGCATTTATAATTAAGGAGTTAAAAGTTCAGGAATTTCAGGCAAAAGATAAAATAAAATTGTTCAACGTGGTCGAATCGAAGAAAGAAGAAAGAAGCGTGATAAAATTAAGAACGATGGAAGGATTTCCTTCCAAGGAAAAGAAAGTGAAAGAATGAAGAATAATTGAATTGGCTCGTGACATCTAGGTGCTCTACGCGGGAATTTTGAAAAATGCACAAAAGTACAAGAAATCCAATACTCTGAACGTAAGATGAGTATGAAATGTAAGATATTTGGCATAAACATGGTCTCTTTTGGACGAAACATACATACTCTATTAAGATGAAAGTGAGGAAATATCCAATTATTGGTATTTCATAAAAGCTGCTACCAATTCTCCATTATAAAAATCGTAGACAAGTACATAATAGCAACCTACTGACCTTTAGTAAATTTCACTACTTTGCTTACCAAATCACGGGAACCAAAAGCGACCTATTTCAGTTTAAAGTCACAGCCCTGAATTGTAGATCACGTCACACAAGTTGTACCCAAATCACAACCATGAATTGTAGAACATTGATTATCTTGACTAAAAGTCAAAGAAACCATGAATTTTTTGTTTTCGCATACCAAAAAATCTTAAAAGTTAGAATGGCTCATCTTTTGTCTAAGTAACAGGAAGTTACCAGTAAGTAAAGTCCATCCTATATGCGTGATAAGAATTATTTAAATATTTTTTAAGAATAGTGAGACCTTAAAGAGTATTAAGAAAAAAATTAAAATGCACATCGAGTACTATATACTTAAGAATAGGAAACTGTACATTCTATTATGATGATGAAAGAGTATAAACTGTAGAATTACTGCAGAGATTACTTCGAAATTCGGAAGAATACCGGCCATGAATCAAACCCAGCGTTCTTGCGATTCTGAGTGTTACCCCAACATTTGCTTCCAATACTTAGTTAAGTACAATCCGTGATGTACTTGGGCTGTGTCGTTGGCGGGTGACGTAGCACGGGGCCTAGCGAGGCCGGATGGAGTGGGTTGAAGGTGCAGGCGTGGCGTGGCGTGGCGTGGCGTGGCGTGGCGTGGCGTGGCGTGGCGTGGCGTGGCGTGGCGTGG